ACACAATGGAATATTATTCAGCCATAAGAAGAAAACAAATCCTACCATTTGCAACAACGTGGATGGAGCTAGAGGGTATTATGCTCAGTGAAATAAGCCAAGCGGAGAAAAACAAATACCAAATGATTTCACTCATCTGTGGAGTATAAGAACAAAGGAAAAACTGAAGGAACAAAACAGCAGCGGAATCACAGAACCCAAGAATGAACTAAGTTACCAAAAGGAAAGAGACTGGGGAGAATGGGAGGGTAGGGAGGGATAAGGGTGGGGAAGAAGAAAGTGGGTATTATGATTAGCATGTATAATGTGGGGGGTGGGGGAAAGGGGAGGGCCTTGCAACACAGAGAAGACAAGTAGTGATTCTATAACATCTTACTATGCTGATAGACAGTGACTGTAATGAGGTTTGTTGGGGGGACTTGGGTTAGGGGAGAGCCTAGTAAAAATAATGTTCTTCAAAAAAATTAAAAATTAAAAAATAAGTGAATGTAGGGACAGAGATCTATATGTTAAAAATGAATTTAAAATACCCATTAAAATGGGTAAGGCTAAACTATAGGATCCAGGAATGCACACTTGGGTGAATCTGTTTTGGGTGAAAAAAACAAAGAAATGATTGAAATAAAACTCTGTAGTAGTTACTTTTGGAGGGAGGATGGGGTTTGTGGTTAGGAAGGGCTTCTGAGGTGCCTGGGAAAGTTCTGTTTCTTGACCTGGGGAGTGGCTGCAAAGGTGTTTGCCTTAATTCCTTAAGCTATACGTTTATTTTGTGTGGTTTTCTGTATCTGTGTACAATAAAAACAAAGGATTAAAAGACAATAAAGAAGGAAAATCCTATTAAGATATAAGTTTAATATAGAAAAATAGGGGAGGGGACATAGGTACCCTCTAGAAAGATAGTCATCCAACTTTAATAGTTGTTACCTTGACAGGTATAGATATTTTACCATTTCTTTGCAATGTTCGCATGTCAATTAAAAGGGAAAAAATCTAATAAATGATACATATATATGTGTAAATATATATATATGTACACAATACATAGTTTGTTTTACTTGTTACTTTGAAATCATTTCAAACTTACCAAAGAGTTGCATGTAAAATACGAAACACTGTACATCCTTGACCCAGATTTATATTTGTTGATTAAGATTTTGGTTCATTCTTTCACTCTCTCTCTCTCTCTATTTGATAATTGGTTACAAATATCATGTCTCTTTGCTTTTAAATGCATCTCCAAGTATTTCCTACAAAACAAGGAAATACATAATACATGCTTTTTAAATATGCACATATATAATTATTATCCTCCAAAAGCTACAGGACTTTATATCAAATTAAATATGTGAACATACTATTTTAACTGTAAAGCATCATTATTAAGAAATGCATGTCTCTTTTCCACTTGATGTTCCTTGAAGTAATTGGTCACTTTTATCTGAAGTTTAAAGAAATTAGCCTTTATTGTATTACATCATCAAATAACACAAACTGAAGGACAGTAAAAAATCGCAATGGTTTTTGGTATGTGCTCTAAGCTGAATTGTAGTTTAATCTGTTAAAATTATCAATTACTCATGAATTTTATGTCAGGGAAATTAGACTTATAAAGTTCTAGAAGGTAGCAGAAATTTGAAGACTGCTCCCATGTCCCTCTCAAATCAGCTACAAACTGACTAGAAAAACCTCGTCTAGGTTTATTTTTTAGGTGGTGCTCAAACCAATGTAAATTATGTGCAGAGGAATATAAGTAAATACAAACTGATTCCACAGAAAAGTGAAAGACCTCGTCTGGAAGATTTTAAAACACATTTATAAATAATTTGTAGGCTAGATCAGATTTTTATAAAGAACAGTGGGAATTTCCTTAGATAGTATGTAGGTAGTTGAAAACATCTTTAATAGTGCTTTTCAAGATTTTGACATATCTGGGTTTGGTCTGTCTGTGCGCACAGTGAATATCCTGCCAGAAAATATAGGGCTTATTTCCATACTTTGCAGTAGATTAAGCTTCAATTGACACAAATTATTTGACAAACCAGTCACTTCCAGAAGCACAATAAAAATACTGGTTTCCAAAATGTTGGTGCTAACAATGGTTCCATTGAAATACAGTAACTCTGACCATGGAGCAATGAAAGTGTCCCCGGGTTTTATTTATAAATAAGGAGAATTAGCACCTGGGCGAGCCCTGGAATAAGACGCTCCAGCCCCACACTTCTTTCATTCTAAAAACAAAGCTCTTTTCCTTTAGAATGTAATGGGCTATTCGGGATTATTAACTGGATGCCACTCGATTACAGTCTGTACCGTAGAGGAAATGACGGGCCGCGGAGCTCAGTGCAGTCGCGCGGGGCTGGCTGCTGCGGGGCTGGAGTCGGGCCCTGCGGAAGAGGTGACGGCGCCCTGTGTCTGCCCGCAGGTGAGCGAGATGGAGGTGAACGGGCAGTTCGAGTCGGTGTGTGAATCCGTGTTCAGCGAGCTGGAGTCGCAGGCGGTGGAGGCGCTGGACCTGCCGGTGCCCGGCTGCTTCCGCGTGCGGAGCCACAGCTACGTGCGGGCCATTGAGAAGGGCTGCTCCCAGGACGACGAGTGCGTGTCGCTGCGGTCCTCCTCCCCGCCCCGCACCACCACCACCGTGAGGACCATCCAGAGCAGCACGGGTGAGTGAGCAGGCGGCTGCCCCGGCCCGCCCCGCCCGCGGCAGAGCTCCACCCAGGCCCGCCGGCAACGGGGCCTCGCTGCCCGGCCTGCCTCTGGCCACATTCACACCCCTTCTCTCAACCCCCTCTGGTATCAAGAGAGGAAACTGCAACTGCAGGTCCAGCAGAGACAGCCTGGGGGGCGGGTTGGGGGGGCTCTTTCCATGAGCCAGCGAACTCACCCAACCAGCTCCTTCTGAGGAGTCTGAAATCAGGCCCTGACTTTCAGGGGCCTGACCCCCACGTGAATCAGACACCCTATAATCGTTGACTGTCACAGAATTGGAATGCTTTTTTAAAATTTCCAAAATACCCAACAAAATGACTACCCCGAAAGACCTGAAAGCCACTGTGAGAAAATAAGAAACAGGTGAGCCAGTAATACTGACTGCACATTTTATGAGTTTTCTTTCATTGTAAGAGAAGGCAGATTTCTTTCAGTAATTTAAAACCTTCTGACTGATAAATGTATACAGCACCTCCTTTTCCCTCTAAACTGAATTTAGATTTTAGGCAGAAAGGCACAGAAGTGCTTAACTGGTCTCCATTACACTGGAACCTGCATAGGAATATAGCTATGAGTTATGTAGGACACTGTATGTGTTGGTTTTTTTATAACATTTGGTCCAAGAAGAAAATCCCCTTCATCTTAATGAAGTTTAACTTTATGACTGAATTCAGTGTAACTCCAATACAGAGTAGTTCTTCAAAAATATCATCAAACCTAGAGTCAAGATAATGATGAATGAATTCGAAGGAAAAGCCTGTGCTGAATATTTGTATTATTCTATTTTAGTTCTAGGTACATCAAATATCAGGAATTATCATTCTGCCTAGAACTTTTGCAGGCTGGAGAAGTAATAGGTCCTCAAACCTGTGCTCCTACTAACTAGAGATGCAGGGTTGAGGTTAGGAATTTGTAAAAATCATTAGAGGTTAAACAATAGGAGTTCACTTGAGACCAGTGAAAACTAAGATCTCAGGACGAGGGAAAGGATGCTTCTAGATGTTGCACTGGCTCGCGGCTCTGCAGAGAGTCTAGCAACTCTGGCCCTGGCTGGCTGTCTCCAACCAGAGATAGCAAATGTGCATTCTTGCTCACTAAGAAATTCTAAAAGAGCAGCCATGGATGGGGTTAATAAATCAAATAAGGTTGATTTATGAAATGAAAAAAATATGTTTTAAAAAATCATCCATGGACATATTTATGTGTGTGTCTACATTCATGCAGTAAGTGCAGTTTGAAGGCACTGTGCCTGTAGCATCCCACTGTGTCTTGATGTTTCCCCATTGTCACCACCCAAAACCCTTTCCCGGTGTCAGGTCCATTCATTGCTTAACAATCTTGTCGCCTGCCAGCTGCTCTTCTTTGCTGTCGTCCTTGCCCAAAAGTGTCAAGGGAAGAGAAATTTGGGCCACTGGCTGACTCTTTCCTCTCAGGGAACAATGTTGTAGATAAAGTGGCTCTTGACTCCAGGATGGCTTTTTTCTGCTCACCTCTCAGAGGACTTTGTGTTGTCATTTAAGAGATAATTCACTTCTGGCATTAGTTCTTGCACCAGGCTCTTCACGCCAAATACCCAGATGTCTGACGATCCTAAGACCCTTCCCAGAAACTCTGAACATTCCCAGAGTTTAAACAGCAGGGTTGTCAGATAAAATCCAGGTTGCCCATTAAATGTGAATTTCAGGTAAAGAGTGAATAAATTTGTAATGTTAAGTATATTCCAAATATTACATGGGTCACACTTACACTAGAAAATTGTAGCATTTGCTAAATCTGACAAGCCTATCAGAGAAGGAGTGAGTGAGGTCTGGGAGGGTGTCCTGGGTTGTTCCTTTTAATATAAATTAAATCAGAGGGGCTTTAGCTGGAGACCATTTGTGAGAAAACACCAAAAAATAAAAAGAAGTAAACAAAATACCACGGACTAATTTTCCACAAGGAGCCCTCTGCTCCTTCTTGGGCTCCCCATGCCTCATCCTAAGTCCTGGATCAAAGCCACCTGCTGCTCTCTGGGTGGGAGGCTCCAGATTTGGGCGCAGCTGCAGGGGGTTCCCGGCAGGAAGATGTGACTTGCCGCTGGGACTGGTAAGCCTGGTAACTTCACCCCTAACCATCAAACTAAACATTATGATGTATCAACCCTAGAGTCATGGAAAACTAACAGTTTAGGGACTAAACCATTGTAGGAGATTCTAAGTAAGCCCATCAGATATTTGAGAGTCTAATTAAGAATTCTGATACCACCTTTCACAGTTTCTCCTTGCCATAGACTCAGTCTTTTATTTTAAAAAGTCATTATTATGGTTTAATAAGGTTCTGTGCCCTTCATTTTACCCCTTCCGATAATCCTGTGTGCTCTTCTCTCCCCACCCCATTCACATTCACACACACACACACACACACACACACTTTACTCTCTCACATGATCTCAGTGCTTATTAATTCTTTTCTACTGGTTTCCTTCTTAGATTAATTCAAGTAGAAAACACAGAAAATCCACTTCTTCACAGGACATACTAATTTTTTAAATAATGTGCTCATTTGTGATAATCAGGAAATTACTTTGCTTTAATTTTGGCCATTCCCTCACCACCACCAATGTACACCAGTTAGATGTACACCCGTGTTCAGTAGGACATACACAGATTTCTCCTTTTACTTCTTTTCCCTTGTTCATTATTCTTGCATACTCGGAACACATTATATTTTTCCCTACACTTCCCTTTGCCTGAAAAAAATCCATTTTTGTCAACAGCAGCTGTTAGCTTTTCCCTACAGCAGTCCACATTCTGAGTCTTTGGCTTTTGTTTCAGTCCATTTTAATTGTTCAAATCTTCAACAAAATATATTATGCTCTTCTCTTCCAGCCTTGTCCGTTCTTCATATTAGCAAGATGAAATCACAGCCCGCAGCCCACCGCAGTGCCTGCGGCATGTGGGAGAGCCGCAAAGATAGGCTTGCCTCGGAGTGGCCCTAAGGGCCCCTAGCCATGTGAGCGAGGGTTTATGGAGACTCGCCCGAACAAATCAGGGCAAGTGGGGAACAGGGTTAGAGAATGACTTACAGCTAGGCTTCCTTTGGTTTATGGGCATTTTGATTTATCTAACTAAGAATCTTGTATTCTCTAATCCTATAATCTGCTTCAAACACCAGCCTCTCTCCATCTAATAGAGTCAACACGTATTTATATAAACCACTGCTCATGGGACTCTTAGGTTAAGATTAGAACTAGTGTGAGAAAGTAAAATTTTAAAGTAGAGCAGTTAACATCATGAGTATGGGAAATAAACACCCTTACCTCAGCCATCTGAATACTTTAGGTGAAAGAATTTGGTACTGGAAATATACCCAAACCTGCTCTTCAGAGCATTGGATTAAACCTGCCGCATATAGGAAATACCAGCGCGATTGTAGGCATTTAAGGATCTTTTCTTTTTACTTCCTACACTGAGCCTCTAGGATCTACCAAAAGCATTACCCCACATTGTATCTAGACAATCTTGTATCTGGTGAGGCCAACAGCCTGAATAAACCAAACCATTGTATAATAATCATCAACAGACACAACAGTACAGATACACAGACACAGTGGTCAGAACTGACACAAAACAGTTTTCAGTGGTTACCCAGTAAGCAGTATGTGAAAGGGTCAGGTGGTATGGACAGAGAAGATTTTTAGAATAAGTATTTATTACTTTTTATGGTTTTAAAAGCCAATATAATATTTGAATTAAAATAGTACTATTTGATAGAAATAGACAAACTATTGTGATATATGATTCTCTGGTCTTTTAAAAAAAGTTTTCACCTTGAAATTACAAGCTTTTCAAAAAAGCTTCATGTAGCAATAATGTAACTTTTATAAAGACTAAGTTCATTCGCCACACTGTTGCTCTTGAAGTTTGGTATTATATTCTTTTCTTTAATGTCGATGGAGTTGAACTGGTCCCCTGTCCTTCACCGAGCCCCCAGGGAGGACAGTGAGGGCCCAGGACAAAGCGTCTCCCAGGTGAGCAGCCAGGGTCCAGCCAGGGGGCCAACCCAGTGGGCCCTCTCAGGTGTGGCTTGCGGTCATGGTGACAGCAGTGTTTACAGTTTGATTTTTCTAACAGGAGATCATATTTTCCCTTAAACTAACACATGTTCTTCTGTAATCCTACTTAGCACACTCTCCCGTGGCTGTCAGCTCTGGCACACTTACTGAGTCTTGCTCTGTGGAGCAGAAGCACGTCCCCTTTTGTCATGTGGTCAACATTCTGGGGTTTGTCCATAGTTTGGGTCTCCACTCCCAGTCAGCCATCTCATCCAGGAGGTCACAGCAAACTACCTTCATGCACCCTACTTCAATCCCGTATACCCTGCTTCGCACCCACCCCCAATACAACAAAAAACCCTAACCACATGAGACTTGAGCAGAATAACGTTAAGCCAATAATTCTTATTTGCAATACACATAGTAGGCATTCAATAATGGAAGAAGTAAGGTGGGGAGGATCCAGAAAAAGACTTATTTTCACTGTGATGTAACTGACATACTATGTAAGCTTAAAGTGTATAATGTGTTGATTTGATACATTAATATGTTGCAATATGATTACCAACATAGATTAGCTAGCATGTCTATCATGTTACAGAATATCATTTCTCTTTTAAGATCTAGTCTCTTAGACACTTTAAAGTATATAATACAGAATTGCTAATAATTATGATGCTGTACATTAGATCTCCAGAACTTATTCATCTTCTAACTGTAAGTTTGCAACTTTGACCACCATCTCCTCACTTCCCCTGTCTCTTAGCCCCCAGTGACCACCATTCTACTCTCTGTTACTACAAGTTCAGCTTTCTTTAGATTCCATGTTTAAGTGAAATCATGCAGCATTTGTCATTCTCTAACTTATCTCACATAGCAAATGCCCTCAAGCTCCATTCATGTTGTGACAAATGATGGAAT